ATTCGCATGAAAGAACACTTGGCCGATAAAAGGCGCAGAAATTTGGGCTCGGCACTCGGCAGGCATAGAGACGCGCAGCACGGTGGAGAAGACTTCGATGTCAAGTGCAAAATTCTTGCGTATGAAACAGAGATCTCGGCTAGAAAAGCTTTGGAAGCATTCTGGATTACTAGCAAGAATCCTGAGATGAACAATAAGAACGAGTGTTTATCAATAACTAGTGACTTCCTCCCGTTCTTATCGTTATGTGATCTATAACTGTAGATCTTGGTGTATCTACAGTATGATTCACTCGTCTGCCGCGACTGCCTTTTTCCGGTGCAGACTACTCGAGTTACAGTGGTCTTCCGGTATGTCCTCTACACTGACATTTTATTTGGTAGCGAGATTGTGAGAAGGTCGAAAACTAGCAGAGTTGGAGGAAACGCTTGGTGGTCTGGAATTACGGATAACACTTAGAACCATTCAGGCCTCTGAGGAAGACGAAAGGCGTCGAAACGTAAGGCCGTGATTGGAAGAAATAAAGACCACTTCTCAAACCTGTACGGCACACAAGAAATTTGAACTTACGACACATGCCAAGGTTTCATGAAAACGGGACTTGGAAGCTGTGAATATTCTGTTCAATAAATAATAAAAGGAGAGGGGGGGTTCAGTCTTAAAGGCAGTGTCCGGGCAGAGAGTCGATTTTCAGATTTTGTGTTTACCCGGGCCTGTTCGCTATGGTGAATCCGATTGTTCACACTGGAGAGCGCCAAAATGGTGAAAAAAGGGCTTAAACGCAGGAGGGAATTCAGCAGGTGGGCGGGGTCTTTCCCATTGTGGATATAAGCTCCCAACTTCCACAAAGATTCTCGATTCCGCTAGCCGCGCTGACATCGCTACCGGCCAAGTGCAAAAGTTTCACGACGAAATCGTCGGAGGAAGGAGTCGGAATCGAAAAGGTCGCTCCGGAAGCAGGGAGCGTGAATTCACAGTGAAAAAGACTCTGCCCATTTGCTGATTTCCCTCTGCGTTAGAGCCCTTTTTTCGCCGTTTCCGCGCTCTCTAATGTGGATTTTCGTATTCTGCATAGCGAATAGGCCCGAATAAGCACAAAATCTCAAAATCGACTTCCTGCCCAGACACTACCTTTAGAGTCTCAATTCTGGGTGCAGCACTAGCAAAAAAGACAAGCAGGGTTAAGCGAAAGGTATGGCACACAGTTGCCGGATACCCCCTCCCCTTCGTAAAATCTGTCTCGATGTCCCCTTCCCCCTTCCCCCGGCATTTCGTCCTACCGTAGGCATGACGTAAAGGCTCTACCATGCATAGTCAGTAACACATTTGCAATTATCATGTCAAATAACCCCTGTGGGCCAAGTTTTAGCGATATCCGAGGATTACCGATATTGAGCCGCTCAACTGAAGAGCTCATTTGCAACCATGGTTAATTATATTTCAAGCTCATTTGCAACCATGGTTAACTATACTTCAAAAGTGAATTACCTATATCTGTACTCAAAACAAAGCGCTATTCCCTGTGGGCCCATCTGAGAGATCTCATTCCAAATAGCCACTAAACAAGGATTTAGGAACTGAGCAGAATCAATTTGTTTAGTTTGCTTTCAGCAACTACTGCTCAAATGAAAGAAGGTAAATTCAGCTCTAATCGCTTCTACAAAAACTGCGAGATTTTGGCTAGCGAACAGTATAAATTTTATTTCCTAAAATTCCCTTTGGATGTAAGATAATGGTGTGTGGCACAACCCCTATAAAGCTTTGGCTGCCACACCTTTTCAGGTGCTACACCCCAATAACTTCCCGTCATACCATTCAAATATATGCATTTTTTATGTCGCTGCTACTGCTTAACTTTCGTTTTTTACACAGTAAGAGATTTATTGTAAGTCATTTCTTCTAAGTAATGATATAGCCGTTTCTCCTTACCTATGCAAATGAAAAAGCTTCGCAATTATTGGATTATACGGTAACATGCCGAGTCTGCGCTACTACGTGAATGGCGAGTGAAGGCGATAAGAACAAATATATTCAATAACCTGAGCCTCGTCATTTACATGAAAGGGATTTGAGCCTGACTGATTCTTTTTTAGTCTGAGATACCGGAAGTGAAAAATGGAACAAACGACATTTCGGCTTGCTCTCAATTCCTTATCCTTAGTTTGGAAGTTATTTGAAATGTGTTTCCTAGTGTAAGCAAGAAAGTAGTAGTTCTTTGTATCAAGCAAAGAGAACTAGTTAATTCACTTCGAAACAAGGTTGACATGTTTGGATGACCACCTCACTTGGGTGGCTCAATATTTACCTCCGAACTCGCTGAAACTTGGTCCACAAAGGTATTTGACATGCTTATTACGCCTATGCTTTTGAAGCTCTTTTATTATGCTAATTGCACATAAAAGATAGTAGGCCAAAACATCATTATGCTAATATTTTGCACTAGATGGCAAACCCGGCTCCGCCCGGGACCAAACTTTGCACACATACACTTCGGGGCAGGGAGCGTGTCATAGTCCACTTTTCGTTATCGATCGATGTCGATTTTACCGATTTTTTTGCAAAAAAAAGCATGCTGATCACCCCTCCGGGGTGATCAGCATGCTCGATTACCCCCCTGTGCAAAATCCTAGCCCCCTAGCTCAAATTTTGCAAAAAAATCGGTAAAATCGACATCGATCGATAACGAAAAGTGGACTATGACACGCTCCCTGCCCCGAAGTGTATGTGTGCAAAGTTTGGTCCAAATCGGTTCAGGAATAAAAATTTCTATTCCGCACATACGTACAGACATACAGACATACAGACAGACAGACAGACAGACATTCAGCTTTATATATAAGATGATGGCCTTCCTGAAATTGTTAACGAGTATCATGTTATCGCTAACATCAAAATCACCTCGATAACGACCCCCCCCCCTCACTGGCCCCTCAATACGACCCCAAGTGTGGCATGCCACACCCCACGCTTGACGCTGAAGACAAGTGAGGAGTAGTGAAAGGGAAGGGGGGTAAAGATTAAGGACCTCGCAAGAATTTTCGAAAGTCAAAGAGGGCTTCGAAAGCTCCCTGCCAGCTGGTGTTGGGCCCTGGCTTGTACTCCTTGTACTCATTGTACTCTCGACTTCCTAGCATGTAACGCTTTATATTTTCAAACAAGTTACCATTGTGTGATATTCTTTATCAAAATTTAATGATGCTTATTTTGTTTCACAAAGCGATGCGGTTCTTTCCAACGATAAGATTTATAACTAAGGCCTCGGCACTGCTTCTTTCCTTTCCTTACCAAAATAGAAGTCGTTCTCCTACTTTTTTGAGAAGTAGGTCAAAGTAACAAAAGTGTTTCCATATATAAGCTCCTGCAAGACGAAGGCGGTCGGTTCGATGTGCAACGCGGCTGCGACATGGCTGCGTCACAGCCGCGTCACAGGCGCGTCACAGCCACGTCGCACATCAAACCGACCGCCTTCGTCCTGCAGGAGCTTATAAATTTATAGTCACCCTCACCCCACTTCGGCTCGGTGGGCGAATTTGAATTTGAGCTGGAGCAGGCCGGTCGCGGCGGAGCGCGGCACCTCAGCCCTCAATTGAAATCTTCGCCTATTTTTTCCGTTCTTTTTTTTTTTGCCTGTGATTGGTAATTCGTGTATTTTGACAACGTTCTTAAACAAAATTGACGTTTTGTTATTGTTAAGAGTCGTTTCTGGCTGCTGTGCCCGATTTTTGTGTGAGCCTTCCTTCCTTTTTGTGTTATATCAGCTGCGACTGTGTACGAATTCGAAGATCAGAGTTAGCAACTTAAGTGAAGTGTATCTAGTAAAACAGGTGAAATATTATTAATAATTACAATACATAGGTCATTCTGAAAATGTACAGACAATGTGACTAGTGAGGCGAACACAACGATGAAGTACAATCGAGTAAATGTAAAGAGCTACACACTACAGGAAGACAGAATACATGTGATTGCATCATGTGGACTATATTGAGCAGAAAATGGGTACATCCTGAAATTAACACCTCAGCAGAATATGTGAAGTCAACCTTACTACAACTAGCTTAAATCTATGTGTACACCTTCACGCAATGATACATTCTTCAATATATTGCAGAAGGCGAAGCTGTCATTTTTTGTTTGTTGGACGTTGTGCTGATTTTGAGCGAATAAGTCGGTTGACGGCAAATTTGATGTTAGAAAAAGAAAGTGTCATCTCTAATGGTGCATTCATTATTCGATTTACCAACTTGAAGTGATTAGGAAGATATGAAGAGAAAAAGTAAAAGTTGTTCATGCTGAACTGTAAAAAGTAGAGCCCTAGTCTATCATAAATTCAGCATGCGTGCCACAGGGCGACTGTCATCACCACTGATCACGACTGCGGACCGCCAGCAAACTCAGACAGTCGAAGGGATACCTCCGGCGGGCAAATGGCGCGAGTCTGCCACTTCGCGCTCTGGAGCGCTCCGGAGCCCTGTCATTTCACCCATTTTGGTACTCCAGGGCTCTCCCAAATCTGGCGCACCTCCGGAGCAGAGATTTGCGCGTCCCCGAGGGGAGTCCCATTCGTTCACCGTGACGTCACGGTGACGTCACAAGCAGGTGAATGGGACCCCTCTCCGGGACGCGCAAATCTCTGCTCCGGAGGTGCGCCAGATTTGGGAGAGCCCCGGAGTACCAAAATGGGTGAAATGGCAGGCCTCCGGAGCGCTCCAGAGCGCGAAGTGGCAGACTCGCGCCATTTGCCCGCCGGAGGTATCCCTGACTGTCTGAGAAGATAATAAGACAGGCCAACGAGCGCGAGCGTAGGTGAGTCAACTTGGCAAACGATATTACCATCCACAAAAATTCGAATCATGACAGCATTCGTGTAAATCTACTCGTTATAGACTCAGATGCGAAAGACTGTACAATGGTCTAAATGGTATAGCACTGCTGAATGCAGCTATATACTTATGAAAATCAATGGAAAACAGGAATAAGATTTGCTTCAGCCTAAGCGTTCATGGCGACGCCATTTTTTGGCGATCGAGCCGATCAGGGAGATAAATTAGATGATGAGTGTATGACATTCGCTGTGAAAATATCTACAATGATGTCACTTGTTGTTCCACATCGTCATAGTCTTCTTCAAGCATTACCAGCTCTCCATCTGAGTAATAGGATTCCTCCGAATGCCCTCGAGCCAATTTATCTTCATGATAGCCTGAGATATCCAGGATAAAAATCAAGTTAATAGGTGATACAAAGGCTCAGCACCGCTCTCGTCTGAGATGCTGTCAAAATCTAGAGAATTGAGCCTTTCCATTTGGTGCTCCTCTTCGCAATACGCGGAGCAACAGTTCGCTGCCTCACCTGTAAGAAAGACAAGCTTTCAGCTTTGAATGAAAGTACAGAGACCCAAGGATCAAAGGTCCTTTTATCAGTGACAAAAACAGGATAGGGAGGGGAATGGAGAGACAGTCACTCGTGATTGAACAGATTGTGCAGAAATGCTTTCCAAACTTTAGGTATTTCTCCAGCCAAGCTCCCAAACGCGAAAGGGTGAATGTGGTGATCTTGAAAGGTGATACAGTGCTTCTATGGGGTCGATTACACATGACCGCGAAAATTTTGGTGGTAATGCTGCAACGCCTGCGCTTGAAAAGTGGGCACTGAGCGCACATTGTCAGCTTTTGTGAATATGGCCACTTTTCGCGCGCAAATGCTGTCGAACAACGCAAACATACACCAAACAGTCACCCGAGTGGACTACATAGCGGCACACGTGATTTTCAAAGCCCGAGTGATGCCGTATGCGGGCACATCCCTCCCTCCCTCCACCCCCCCCCCCCCCCCCACTAGACACCTAGTGGACGAATTTGAATTTGAACTAAAGCACGCCAGTTGCGGCAGAGCACGGCACCCGCAGCTCTCATCAATCTCAAACAATTTTTTTGTGTTTTCACGGCGTTTCAACCTGATTTTTGAATGCTGACAGTTTTCTCAAATCGTCTTGAAACTGTTGCTTTTATTTGGGAGATGAGTCGTGCTGCTATGCTTGTTTCTTTGACTACGATTTCAAGCTGAGTTTGGAAAAACGACTAACATAAAACTGGTGAAATTTTTCTCGGTAAGTACTGAAATGCTGGTTCATTGAACACTTCATGTCAAAATTCTCCATGTGCATGTTTTTCCGACCTTTCCTGGAAACAGAGTAAAGAAACTAGCATAGTAGTACGAAACATCGCTATGTGACAAAAAACTCTTCAATTCTGATTACACTCATCATTAAAACAAAAAAAAAATCACAATGCAACGACAATAAAACACATAAAAAAAACTGCATTAGCTTGAAGCATTTGAGATGCAGCGCTCTGCCGCAGCCGGCGTGCTCTAGTTCGAATTCGTCCACTAAGGGCAGCATGCACTAACATCCCCGCGGGGAGGGGATCGCAGCTCAAAAGAAAGCTTTATATTTCGAAACTCCAGATACCTTGATTTCACGTTGTGTACCTATCCGTAAGTATTCCTACTACCCTTCACTATGAACATGTAAGAGGAGCGAGAAGCTGTACGAACCGCAATTACCAGCTTTTGTATGATCCCTGATGATCCCCCGGCGCTTTTCTTTAAAGTCATTTTTCTTTCTCCGGAGTTAACGAAAAACCTCCAACGTTGTGCAGATTATTTAACCTGACAGTGCTAAGCATGTTGCTGATAAGAACAAATGATGTTTTGAAGTCATGAAATTTTCGATAATCCACAGGTCGAAATTTGAGGTTTACCGAAAAATTCGACTTTTCAAAAACTCATTTGTTCTCATCAGCAACATGCTTAACACTGTTGTGTTAGAAGTTCAGTACAACTTTGGAAGGTTTTCGTTAACTTCGGAGAAAGAAAAATGACTTTAAAGAAAAGCGCCGGGGATCATCAGGGATCATACAAAAGCTGGAAAATGCGGTTCGTACAGTTTCTCGCTCCTGTTCAACATGTTCATAGTGAAGGGTAGTAGGAATACTTACGGATAGGTGCACAACGTGAAAACCAGGTATTTGGAGTTTCAAAATATAAAGCTTTCCTTTAAGCTGCGATCCCCTCCCCAGTGGAGAGGTTAGTGCATGCGGCCCTAAGTGTCTGGTGGGGGAGGACGACTATACCACGCGCAATTTCAGTCGCGATTTGGCAATTGCCAGATGTCTTCACATCCAGTGCCCGCGAACTGCAATTGCAGAATGCGTACAAGCTTTTACGAAATGTCCTGTAATCTGTGCATCTAAAATACGTTTACGACGGGTTATAATTGCGTGGTGAATTGCACATCACGAGGTGACTGGATTCGAGCAAGTGAACTCAAGACTTAATTTTGTGCACCTCACTTTCGTCCTAACTGCTTGGAAGATAGAAGCCACCTCACCTTCAGCTACTTCCAAAGTGTCGTTTGCAGAAGCCGCGTTTGAGGAAGGATCGGATGAACTTTCCACGCGGTCTGGCTCTGCACGATAGCATACTGACTCGCTATTGATCTCAGGCTCCTAAAACGTTTTAGAAACTGGATAAAAAGTCCTACATTGGTGAACGTACTTCCTGCTCTTCATCTATACTCCCTAGACGTGGGGCCGATTTGGAGCGGCATACAGGTGGCCGAAAATTCAGGCTTCCCGTATGTAGTAGTTTTTTCCGACGAGGACAGCCGGCTGAACCATTTAGACGGGAGTTCTGGACTGCTAACTTTTCTCGTCTGTACTCCTACAACCAATTAACCATAGAAAGTGGTCGACTATGGAAATCTCTTCACTCAAATTTCGATAATTTCTTTCCGTAAAAAAAGCTTTTCGATGCATAAACACGCACTCTCATTTCTTTCTAAAAAAGAGTCCAAAAATTTATTTGAGCAGGTCAACTAAAGGAGTCCTGCATTTTCTGAATGCTCACCTGTAAAGCTGTGTGTAGGAAATCCTGCAACTTAGTATGGATAATCAAAGGATCAGAAGTTCTCTTACAGAGAACTGCATGACATCGAAGCTCCGGCTTAAGCCTGTAATCGGTTTGTTTACATGTGTACGACAAAGTCTACCAACTACCTTTTGCCATCATGCTTGTAAATCCAGCAAAATATTCTAGGATAGTTTGCCGGTGCACCTGAGGAAGTTATGCGGTGAGCCCAATATTCAGTAAGACCCTGCTCCTTAGTCTCCGCTTTCAATCCTGATCTGGTGATCTGCAAAGGCTCTCTTACCTCCAAGAAAATGCTCATGTCCGGAATCCTAATGTCAAGGACAAACCTCTAGACCCATGTTGAGATCACCGTCGCTTCTGTTGCAATAAGCCTTCCAGATCAGATCAAGAGGCTTTTCAAAACAGTGCTCTCCTCCTGCCATTATGGTAAGAACATTTCCCAAGTAGATCACATTGTAGCACACATCTGGAGGGTTGATCGTATAGCTGAAAACATTGATATTGATGGTCTCAAACCATATATCAAAGAGTTTTTAGAAACGGTCTGTTTTCGAGTTTCTATAATTCCTTGCCTTACCGTTGCTTTTTCCTCCTAAAAGGAAGGGTGAAAAATTGGGACGCAGATGTTGAGCCGTTGAGCATTGGCATCTGTAAATTGTCAAATTAAATCACATATAAAAACACAAGGGTCACTGCTTCAATTCTAGAAGAAGTCAAACAGTAGATGTCCGTAATATATTAGCTTGGGAGGTTTCGGCATGCGCATCAGTCACGACGACTACTTGTACTTTGCGAATCTTTGGGTGGGACAAAACGAAGTCAACCAAGATGCTTCTCGATAAAAGAGTGATGTCAAGAGCGCAGAATGACACCGCTATGAATACATATGCTCCCACTGATGCCGTAAGTCACAGCAAACTAGCATACTCTTCGTATTTTTCCATGCGTGACATGTACAAATACACATTTTGGGAGAAAAAGAGAGCAGCACCATTGTTTACGAGATTTTGCTACATTATGTAGCACCATTAACATATGCACTTAGCAAACAAAGAATGAGGAAAGAATGAGACTAACAAGTTCTGCGGAAAACATCCACATCACAATGATTGGGGATGTCACCAAGCTCAAAATAAACACTGCAGCAGCTCACTTTCCTAAATTACATGACCAGGCTTATAGTCGGATCAGAAGTATATGACTTCCACTCTAGAAGCACATGAAGAGATGACAATATTTCCGTACACTTGATTTACAATAGCAAAGCAAACATTCAATTGCACAGAGGTAGAGTGTTGTACCCATCATAGTGTTCACATCATAAATCTCCAATAGTTGCACATCTACTTACCGCCCACCACCACACAATGCACTCCTCCGGTCACCAAATCCAATCACCAATATGTCTTGATAATTTAGTTAGGCTGACTGTTATTGTATGAGAGACTCGTCAAAACAATCACTGACAATGACTACGTGGAAGAGCATGCACGTGTTCAAGTGAAATCATGACTTTACCACAAAATGGAGAGCAAAACCAGGACTGCGTTCAATGTACGACTGCAGTATATCCATACTCTTGTATCATTTTGACTGGATCCTAACACGACAACGAGCCCACAAAAAAGCTGAGGAGAGTGCGAACAAACAACTCTCTCGTTCTTTCTTTTCTGTTCGCTGGACCTCCTTCAGTCGTTGTTACCTTGCTTATGATCTGGCATTGTAAGCTAGCTGTTTTTACTGAATATTATCGCAAAATCCGCGCGATGCTGCATCTCCATCGAAAATAAAAATCAAATTTTTCACTGTATTTTTGCGTGTACCATGTAGTCCCTACATCCCTGATGGAAGCCGCAACTTAAACATAGACGTTCAACGTTTTAAAGTTTGCTGAAAAAGATTTTCGAGACCTTTATGCAGAAACTTAAAACAGTCCTAAGTGTTCGTACACACTTGAAAACTGGTTCTGAATATGGGATGAGGGCGCAGAGTCCTTCAGAATTCATTGAAAAACAAAAGTTCTGCAATTGTGCGTCACTATACTTTATCACTCATTCTGTTGCAAGGAACTATGAGATTTCCGCAATCACTCGATTTCATTATTTACAAACAACGGTGCTATTCCACTTATTACAACCCAAAAACTGAAAATCATGAATTTCGTTAAAAATTCGCATCAATAGGGCTACTGACCTGCTGGTCACGAAAATGATATTTATTTTGCATGGTGGGCTTTTTCGAGGAGTTACGCTAGGCATACGGTATGGGGTCAAATTCTCAGAATTCGCTAAAGCTCTGCGCAGGGGGGGGGGGGAGTCGACATGCTGACCATGAATATGTACCATATTCATTCCCCCACGAAAACGCCTCATGATGGGGTTACGGTAGGTATATGGTAGGGAGTCAAAACGGTAGAACTGCCTGAAACTTTATGCAGGGCTGTTATCAGCCTTGCATAAAGTTTTTGAGTACAAAAAGATATAGGTAATTCACTTTTGAAGTATAGTTAACCATGGTTGCATGGGCTATCTAATATGCGCATCATGAATACCACGCTCATTTGCTTATAAAGCTTTCTCGTGGATTTTTGGGGTCTTAATTGATCTGAAAAGCAGGAAAGATGCTTACCTAAACGCTTCAAATTGCCATAACCCCACAAAAAAGCGTTGTTGTAGTGAGCAAGCCTGATCGCTATCAGCATGCTCGAAAACCCCTCTAGGCAACGTTTCAAGCAAGATTGAATTTTTACCTATCTACCGTATACCACCGTAACTCGATGAAATGGCGCTACCGTACAAAGTCAATATAATATCCAGGTTCAGCGTGCCAGATGACCTCTCCAGACCAAATTCCAGCCAAATCTAGATTTTGGCTTCCTACATGCACATACCGTAACCATACAGAAAACCGTGCGGAAGAATGTGATATTCGTGATCAGCATGTCGAATATCCCCCCCCCTCTAGGCAATGTTTTAGCGAACTTTGAGGTTTTGACCTCATACCGCGGTACCTATCGTAACCCCTCAAAAAGGCCCCACCAGGCAACATGAATATTATTTGCGTGATCACCCCCCCCCCCCGCCCAAGCGAGTTTTCGGCGAAATTCGTGTTCTAGTGGATTGGGTAGGGTTTTTGGGTTGTATTAAGTAAAATAGCGTCTGAGAAAGAAAATAGTTTTGTAGATCATTCAATGATCTTCAAGCGCTTTTCCCATTCTTATATTGATTAATGATAAAGTTTCGATTATAATGTCAAGTCTAATCACAGATAATCCTAGCTGAGAGCAAAGTACAGCGTAGGAGTCTTGTCAAAAAGATTTTTTGAACTGCAACTGCAAAGATATATCCCAGCAAGCCAGTGCAACAATGTACTCTCTAAGGCCCGTATGCACGTACATCCCCGCGGGGAGAGGAGGGGATCTGAGAGGGGAGGCGCCATATCTCACTGCTCTAGATATCTTTCTTCTTTCTTCTCTATCGTGCTTATGAGGGTTCTCATACCCTTACACCTGCGCATAATAGATGCCAGGTTACTGCTATACAAGATTAAATATTCACTATTTCTTCGATCCCCTGGGGATCCCCAGGGGATCATCTCACATTTTCAATGTCGTTTATCTTCCTGAAAAATGAATGAAAACGCCGCAAAATTGCACTGAAGATATACTACTATACTGCTGAGCATGTTTTCGATAGAAGAAATTGAATCTGAAGATTTTGATTTTTTCGATAATCCCTGGCTCGCGAGCAGCGGTTCATCGAAGATTTTGATATCTTGAGACTTCACTCATTTCTACCATAAATATGTTTAGCAGTGCTGTAGTATATCCACAGTACAATTTTAGAACATTTTCATCGAGTTTCATACTGCTGAGCATGTTTTCGATAGAAGAAATTGAATCTGAAGATTTTGATTTTTTCGATAATCCCTGGCTCGCGAGCAGCGGTTCATCGAAGATTTTGATATCTTGAGACTTCACTCATTTCTACCATAAATATGTTTAGCAGTGCTGTAGTATATCCACAGTACAATTTTAGAACATTTTCATCGAGTTTCCAGAGAGATAAATAACTTTGAAAATGTGAGGTGATCCCCTGGGGATCCCCAGGGGATCAGACGAAATAGTGAATATCTAATCTTGTATGGCAGTAACCTGGCATCCGTTATGCGCAAGTATCAGTGTATGAGAACCTTCAAAACCAAGACAGAGAAAGAAGAAGAAAGATACATAGACTAGCGAGATATGATGCTTCCCCTCTTGTCAGATCCCCTCCCCTCCCCGCGGGGATGTACGTGCATACCGGCCTAAAGAACCGTATGTATTATTAGGTAAATTCGAAATTTTCGAATATTCGAACATCGAATAATATTGGAAAATCAAAATTCTCAAATATTCTATTGAATATTATTCGCAAATTGAAAACCAAATATTCGACTACCGAATATTATTTGAAAATCGAGGATTTCGAATATGCAACTATCGAAAATTATTCAATGGGAATTATCGGATCGAATATTATTCGAATATCGAATATCATTCGTTGTTCGTTTTTCGAATATTATTCGAAGAATGGAGCTATTTTGCTTACCCAAAACTGTCCCCGAATTCTCAAAATCGTGGATTTCTCTCAAACTTGGTCTATGGGGGTTATCTGGCATGATAATCACGAATGTCATACTTTTACACAAAAACGCCTTTCTATGTTGTTGAGGCAAGTATATAGCAGATAAGCAAAAACCTCAGATTTGCTCAATTTCGTTCGGGGGGGGGGGGGGGATCTTCAGCGTTCCAATCATAGTTATGATCCCGGTTGTGATGGAAAGAGTACTTTTGCGCCTCAAGTTGGTGACGCACTATAGTTTTGGCCAGATTTGGATTTTGAGCCGATCCGTCCGTCAATCATATCCATTGTAACAGCAAAACAACACGACATTCGTGACCAGCATGCTGAATAATCCCACGAACCAAAAAGTGGCCAATCTGTGATCATGACACCCATGCCGTATACCTTCCTCCCATTATCCGTAAGAGGGTTTTCGTTTTTCAAAACAAGGGCGGTTTTTCTGAAGTTCTTGTATTCTCCTTTGCCTTGCAACGAGCGAAATTTCCCTGAATATGCTATTTTCCCAGTTTGAAAGCGAACATCGCGAAGGTTCTGTCGCACGCAATGTTCGCAAGCCGCACCGATTTTCAGTACTTTACAATTTGCCACTCTCCGCCCAAATAGAACAAGCTGGCGCGGGGCCAGAAAGGTATGTTGCACTTTGAACTTGTGCCTTTAGGATGGCATTCTTATTACGGAAGGAAACCAATTGGAGGAAGCAGGAAACAGGAGCAAACTTGGTGATGGACCATGTGCAGCAAAGCCGAAGCGTGTCAAAGAAGATTATATATCCTCATTGAGAGTTGTGGACTGATTATACAGGGGTCCCAACATTACGTAGATCTGTGGGCTGGCATCAACTTAGACTTATAGTATAGAGCAATTTATCAATCGCTTTTCATCGCTGTAAAATTACCGCAGGAAAATTTAAGAGGGTTTTGAGACATCGAGAGCCGTTTGCCCAGGAAAGATCAAAAGCCGAAAGTCTTACATTAGACTTCTCAAGACACTATATATAGAATCTGCACTCAGCCGTAATGCTTTTTTATTACAGCTTAGCACACCGTAACAAATTTTCAACTCTTTTCAAAGACTTGATTGCAAATTTGAAAAGCTTGAAAACTCCTGTGTATTAAAATTAGCATAGGTAAAAACTCTGCTACACAGATTTTAGATCTTTTTATGGGAAATTGTTTTGGATGTCTTATTTCGCAATTGCTCTATATGCTGGAAAAATCATGGTTGATTCGCTTTCTGCTGTATTTGTAAGCTGAAGCCATCCCTACAGGATGTTACCCAAAAGTTGGCAAAAGACGTGTGAGAGGTATTAGCGATCAAATAGACAGATACTCTTGGGACACCCCCCCCCCCATATGTTGTGGAGACGAATTTCCGAATACTTGATGCTTATCGAATTTTCGAATAATCAATTCTTACCGAATTTTCAAATATTCGGTGCTCATCTTTTCGGATATTCGACTTTCGAACAATATTCGAAAATAAAGATTTCTGGATATTCGACTATAGAATACTATTCGAAATCTCACAGGGAAGCTTGTTCAGTCGAAGTGGCCCTTTTGAATGAGTTGTTTACCAGGTCAAAAGGCATAAAACGCTGATTCAAAACCTGCCCTCCTCATCTGCAGAACGTTTATGGACGAGAAGTTATGAGCGTTTGGAGCCAGGAACTGAATGTATTTTGGATAAAATGAGTTGCTAAGACCTTATTAGCCCTCAAATAATGCAACCAAGTGTGGTATAATTTTTATTTTAGAGTAATTTTCAAGCAAAGTGCTCTGATGATTATCAGTGCTCCAATGAAGAGCTAGAAAAAGTACTACGGTTATTCCTGTCCTACTAGCACATTCAATCTTTTTGCTCCAATTAGCCCTCATAAGTCCTCGTCCGTGAACGTTCTGAAAATAAGGAAGGCAGATTTGAAATCAGCATTTTATGCTCTAAGGGCGCCTTCATACCGCGGCCGCAGCCGCTGCTAGCAGCCCGTAGCAGCCGCTGGCAGCCGCTGGCAGCCCGTAGCAGCCGCCAGCAGCCCGTAGCCGCCGCTGGCAGCCGCTGGCAGCCCGTAGCAGCCGCTAGCAGCCCGTAGCCGCCGCTGGCCGCTTTTGTTATGAAAGCGCAAAATCATCAAATTCCTACTGCTTTGAGTGCGCCCACCCACGCTTTCCATCTTCCACGCTTCTTTCTTCCTATTGCGACTAATGTGCAGTTCCACTCTCACACATTACAAAGTTATTCAAGATGAGCACCGGCCAAAGATATGATTGAAGCAGAAGCATGCATAGAGAACACTGCAGAAACTGGACGCATCGAAAGTCCGACGAAATCACATCGCGAAGAAACTTTGGTGAAATATGGTTCAACTGCGAGAAGGAAACTGAGCAATAGGATAACCAATGTACAGCAACAAGATAATAACAACAATGGACTCAAATTGTATGAGATCGAAATGCGACAACAGGAAGGGAAAAGCGTGGAAGATGGAAAGCGTGGGCGGTTGCACTTAAAGTAGTAAGAATTTGGTGATCTTGCGCTTATATGACAAAAGCGGCCAGCGGTGGCTACGGGCTGATGGCGGCTGCTGCGGGCTGCCAGCGGCTGCCAGCGGCTGGGGCTGCTAGCGGCGGCTGCCGGCGCGGTATGAAGGCACCTTAAAATATGGTATACATCCCATCTAAAAAGGCCACTTCGACTAAACATGCATTCCTTGTCAGAGTTCCGAATCATTCGCATTCGATTCATTCGCATAATCGAATAATCATTCGACTCAGGTTTAACAGTGTGTATATGATTTCAGGGTCTTTGAGCCAGACAATTCACAATGGAGTAAAAAAACCTTCATAAAAGCTATGGTTATCATACCTGAAAGCTACACCTTCCTGCGATTTGTGCGATAAACTGTAGGTTAACAGATTTGTGATCTATGAGTAGCTCATAGCTGTTTTGTAGCAAAGATAAATCCTGAAAAAGCATGGCTGAAAAATAAAATAAATACTGAGGAAGTTATGAAGCAAGAAAGTGTGGAGATACATCGTACAACATGAAAGAAAGATGAGAAAGGTAGGCCCAATGCTACGAACGGGTATCACACGCAAGGACGCACAAAGAGGTGACGATATGCTGGTCCAAACCTACTACTAGAAATCTTTTTGCTAACAAGTGACACTATAATTAGCAGCTTTCTCGTTAGTAGCGAACATCTACTTGTGTAAAGGTGTTTAGAGATATAGTTCCAACAAATGCGTAGCGTTGACGACTAGTCTGTCAAACAGCTGTGAAAAAAGTCAATTTGGACTGATGTGTGTGAGAATGCTGCAAAAGTATTTTCCTCGGACTGCGCAACGAACTTATGGCTGACTAAGCTACATTCTACAGCACATACGTTTCAACTTGAATTTTCGCCCTTATGTAAGTCCCTCGAAACAAATCTATGATTATCTTGAGAAGTTGCATTAGTTTGAGAAAATATAAGTCATAATGATTGTCATGATTGTAGAACAAGTGATATAAGCGACGTCTACTACCAAGGAATGCAACACTCAGAAATTAGCATAAACATCTTGTTCAAAAGCTCGATGGTTGGCTGATTATCATCATACAAAAATTCAATTAAGATATGAGATAAGAGAAGCGAACGTAAATATTGCAAGGTGAACTTAATTCACAGTATACAAATGAATGACGACAAGTAAGAAGGTAGGACGAATGACGCAGCATTCTTCTCACAGCTGTAATGTTTCGTTTTTACTGTTCGTGCATGTTACATGGAATCTAACATTGTTATAACGCCAAAGCTTAATCGGCCGGAACTCGTTTCATATTCGCTCAAACGTAGGCCGGCTTAGATGAGAGAAGCCAGGATCAATACTACGACCATCAATTTTCAATTTTGAGAAACAAAAAATAGATTCAACTCAGGGAATCACCGCTGGTAACAGCGCTAGTTGAGTGTTGGAAGGTATAGTACATTAATGGCAAAACTTTCGTTATTGGAAGCAGGAAACCAAACATCAAACACAATCAGATGCTACGAACTATGTCTGATTGGCTGAAGGTCAAGATCATTTATCCACAGTGCTAGACTTTACTTTGCTACAGAAGTGGGCTAAGGTCCCAGCATTATTCGGGCTGCCCTTGAGATTGATTGAAAGGTGAGGAGCGAACAACGGGGTATTTCCATATTTTTGACAGCTGCGAATCACGCTGACTGGAAAATTTTGCCATTTTCTCTCTGCATCCTTGAGAACGAAGTGGTATAGAGTTAAAAATGCAATATTGGATTGATCGAACGCCTCAATGAAACATTCTTTGAGCAAACCAAATTCCTGCCAGAATCCGTAAGAGATTACGGGAGACGGTCAAGAGGCGCGATTTCTCTGGCTGTCACCAACTTAAAACTCCAGTTTAGTGCTATGCGAGTCTACAAAAATTATCAGATAAAGTGCATTAGCTTACTGTCTGCCTGAGGTCACCACTTGCAGTTTCATAGTTTTTGCTATAAATTGGAATGAAATATTTACGAATTTGTTCTGAAATGTATTTTCATAAGTTTTTGACCTTTAAAATTGCTCTTTTGAATTTTTTCTAAAGTATCAAGATTGAACAGCTCATGCAACTATCTAATACATCTTCTTCCAAATTTCATATACTTTTAAAAAGCTGCAGAACACTTATTATGTGCCATTTGGTGTCCAGCTGGCAATAAAAATCGCGCCTCTTGACATACACCCCTCTCCATTTCTTTGCACTTGCTCTAGATCATATGAGAGACATATGGTGCTATCGGAATAGTAAGTCTTTCCTGCAATGCAAAATCGAAGGCTAACAGATTGCCTGTTAATCATTGGTAATGGATTATTCTTCTACACCAGGATTGGCATGAGGTGGTTTTTTCAATTATTTTATTTGAAAACAAAGTCCCCATAAACTTCCCCACAAAAATACGACATCACCTATGACGCGATCATGAATGAATCAAACACGAATCACGAAAAATAATAGAATAAAACATGAAAACAACATTGAACAGACGAAGGAGAACTAAAGAAGTTCGTATTCTCCGGATTGGCGGCATGCTGTGTCCGGCGCGCATCCTTGCGCGCTTGGAGCAGGCTTGCCGCCTCCATATAAAATATTTGAAGGGCTGTATAGGCGAGAAGGAAGGGATTTGGGGAGATTCAAAAACTCATTGTAGGGTTTTCGATGTGGAACAAGGTTATGTGAAACATGTGAAAAAATTATGGAAAGAAAGGGGATTTATGACTTTTACTTTTTACAGCCACCTCAGGTGGCTGTCCAGGTGGCTGGAAAGCCACCTAACTCCGAAGAAAGTTGGCCGCGCCTTCGGTTCACATAATTTTTTCATACTTTTTCGTACGTAGTCTTGACTCCCTATTGTCCATCTACACACCAATTTTGGTGTCATTTCATTTTCTCTTTGTTGTAAACAAGTTTTGTTTATTTATTTATTTTTATTCAAAAAAAAATTTCTTTCGAGGGCGTAAAAAAATTTTTTTACAAAGCTAATTTGAATTTTTAAAAATTTTTTAAAATCATTTTAATTATTTACAAGTGTAAACACTTGCACATTTTTATGACCCATATAAGTAACTTTCAAAAATTTTGCGACCCATTCTCGGGGCATTAACTCACAACTCTCTTGCGAAAAAAGGTAGTATGATGGAGCAAAGAGGGTCTCAAAGAGAAAAGACGCTTCAGTTTTTCCTTATATCACAACAATATGAGAGTAGAATGGAGCTAAGCTTATTCCAGTGCCCAGAGCAATGAACGTAGAGGTGACGACAATAAGAACCTGATCTTCAGTCAGGCCCAAGAAGGGCGAACAGTAGAATACATGAAAGAGGAAAGAATGTGTCAAGATAAGCCATGAATGCCTCGAAAAAAGTTCCTAGGACTAGTTATAGTGAAAGAATATCTTTCAGAACAGATAAACATCAGAAGTGTAGATAAAGCAAGCAGAAGAAATCTCAAAAACGAGATGCAGACGGAGCAGATGGGAGATTAGCTAGTAGTCCCGACGATATGCAGCATGTAGCTGATCAAAAATCCTTTCAGTTGTTCCCGGTTGTTCCCCCCAAACAGAAATTCACGACCGAAAGCAATTTTTCGATGAAGCTAGCAGTAGTAGCATATATTAGGTGGGTCCAAAAGTTCATTCGAGGATTTTCAAAAAATCATAACTTCCTTCTCGGTGGAATTTCTTGAATTAATTTTTGTTTGAAAGAGGAAACCTCTCCCTTCACAGCGATATCTTTGACGTGAGATAGCGTGAGAGAGTTCAAGGGTCAGAAGCAATTGAATAAATTTACTCAAGATTGGCATTTTTTAAGCTGGGTCACGAAAACTCCGAAAGTGTTATTATTTGATAGAGAATTATGCTCTTTACAACTGCTCCCCCCCCCCGTGGGGGGTGATCAGCATGCTCGATTACACCCCTCTGCCAAATTCCAGCCCCCTAGCTCAAATTTTGCAAAAAATCGATAAAATCGATAAAAGTAATGCACGGTTTCGAAAACTAATATTGTATTCGTAATCGGCATGCTCGATTACACCCCTCTACCAACTCCCAGCCCCGTAGCTCAAATTTTGCAAAAAATCGATAAAATCGACATCGATCGATAACGAAAAGTGGACTGTGACACCCGCCGGGGCCCGAAGGGTATGTGTGCCAAGTTTGGTCCGGATCGGTTAAGAAATGGAATTTTCTATTCGGAACATACGGCGGAGCCGGGTAAGCCAGCTAGTCTTATATATAAAGCTGAATGTCTGTTTGTATGTATGTATGTATGTCTGTCTGTATGTATGTATGTGTGTACGTATGTTCCGAATAGAAAATTCCATTTCTGAACCGATCCGGACCAAACTTGGCACACATACACTACGGGCCCCGGCGGGTGTCATAGGCTACTTTTCGTCATCGATCGATATCGATTTTATCGATTTTTATCGATTTTTTTGCTGAGTTCACCTACGGGGCTGGGAGTTGGCACAGGGGGGTAATCGAGCATGAGGATTCCGAATACAATATTGGTTTTCAGGATTATCGATTACTTTTATCGATTTTATCGATTTTTTTGCAAAGTTTGAGCTACGGGGCTGGGAGTTGGCACAGGGGGGTAATCGAGCATGGGGATTCCGAATACAATATTGGTTTTCAGGATTATCGATTACTTTTATCGATTTTATCGATTTTTTTGCAAAGTTTGAGCTACGGGGCTGGGAGTTCGCACAGGGGGGTAATCGAGCATGGGGATTCCGAATACAATATTGGTTTTCGGGATTATCGATTACTATTATCGATTTTATCGATTTTTTTGCAAAGTTTGAGCTAGGGGGCTGGGAGTTGGCACAGGGGGGTAATCGAGCATGCTGATCACCCCCAAGGCACAGCCCACTTTTCGTTATCGATCGATGTCGATTTTACCGATTTTTTGCAAAATTTGAGCTAGGGGGCTAGGATTTTGCACAGGGGGGTAATCGAGCATGCTGATCAACCCCTTCGGGGTGATCAGCATGCTCGATTACCCCCCTCTGCCAAATCCCAGCCCTCTAGCTCGAATTTTGCAAAAAATCAATAAAATGGATATCGATCGATAACGAAAAGTAGCCTATGACACGCTCCCTGCCCTGAAGTATATGTGTGCCAAGTTTGGTCCCGATCGGTTCAGAAATGAAAATTTGTATTCGGAACATACGTACATACATACAGACAGACAGACATACAGACAGACATACAGACAGACAGACAAACAGACATTCAGCTTTATATATAAGATAACTCCCGATCTTTTTCGTTTTTCGTGAGAAAGGCACTGTAGTAAAGAGCATAATTCTCTATCAAATAATAACACTTGCGGAATTTTTCGTGACCCAGCTTGAAAAATGCCAATCTTGAGTAAATTTATTTGATTGCTTCTAACTCTCGAAGTTTCTCACATCATTGCACGTCAAAGATAC